TTGGAGTTTTGATTAGGTGGTTTGATTTTTTTTCATTGGCTGTTTTCCAAATGAAAAATAATAGAAGGACATTCTTTGTTTCCCATTTGGTAAAAAGAAAAGGAACTTAAAAATCTTGTCACTTATTTTTTGACTGTATTTATCTTTAATAGGTGGGAATAACAAACCAACAGAAGGTGGCTTGGAAGGTGATGAGAAGACACAACTTCTGGAAATGTGTGAGCATCGAAGGTAGCTATTGCATAGAACTGACAGATGTGCTGTGCATTAACTTCCTATCATTGCTGCAGTCATGGGGAATGTAAACCTGTAAGATTACTAAATGAGATTACACTAAAAATATGTATTTGCTTTCCAAAACTTGATGTACTTGGAAACTGTCTATCGGTTAACATCATTCTCTTCACACTGATTTGAATCTGAATGCTAATAGGGCTGGATATTTTAGATTAACAAGCCTTAAGCGAAGCAAAACTATATGAGGGGTGCTTTTTCTTTCCTGTTTTAATTAATAATATTATGAATTTATGCAGAAATATATTTTTGTGTTATGTATAAATAAAAATGCCCAGGAAAACTGGGCAGAATTGCTTCTATTGGGAGGGTGGTGGTGAGTGAAGCAAATTGACATCTAGCCCCATCTCTGCTGTAATGTAGGTGACAGATGACACATTCAGGGTGTACATTATAGTGTTCAGAGATTGTTGCCTGTTTTTTTTTTTTCTTCATATTATTGGAAGCTTTGATAGTTCTACAGTTTAAATGGTGCGTCAACTCATAACTATACTTTGAAGCAGCAAGTAACTTGGAATTTTAATGGATGAAAAATGGTATAATGAGAACTTCCACTTGAAAGAGTTAACTTTTGTTTACATCAATTTGCATTCACAGTTTTAAAGTATTTATACAATATCAGTTTCTTACCATATTTTCAATATGATATATTTTCAATATGCGATAATAGTTTCTTATCATATTCTTATCATAATTTTCCTATGGCAGGAATGCAAGTTATTGATTTTGCAACCTGTTTTCGGTGCCATGACAATAGTTTTTTAGCCCAACTGGCACATAGGTGCTATAACAGTTTTTTTGTAGATTGTTGGACAAGTGGTCCAGAACTGAGATGACAAAGTGTGAGAGCTCAGTTGTTGACTACACACTAAAACTGTCAGACAGCATCCAGTTCCATGCCAGATGCTCAGTGTTCCAGGTGGGATGAGTTGTTAGCCTCATTCAGTGGGAAGGAGGTGAAATGAAGATTATTACATGGCTCGTGGGGCCATCTGAGGTGTTGCTCTAACCTCTTTTATAAAGTCAGTTCCCAAAGCCCCTCCTTCTTCCACGGTTTAGGTGTCCTTATCGTTACATAATTACTGTTGCTCTCTTAACTGCATTTTCTTAGGCTGTTGTTCTCACAGCTTGCTTTGAGTATGTCTTTTGAAGTTGGATTATTTTTCATTCAGCTCCCTCCTGCCTGCATGGGAGAGGATAACTCACTGAGTTCATTCCAAAATACAGGACTTGCAGGCGGCAGGCAAGAGAGCAGGCGGGAGAAGCTGATCACCACGAGGGCATGTCCAGTGATGATGAGCTGACTCCCACAGAGGTGGGCGACTTCCAGAAGAGCAAAGGTTGGTGACAGTGTTAATGTGATGTCCTAGAACAAAATGCCTTTCTGATATTTTTTTAATGTCTGGGGTTTTTTTAAAGGAAAGGTGAAGAAATACTTCATTTGAGTTTCCTGTTCTTAGTTATACACTGTAGAAAAGAAATGCATTCAGGCAGTTCTGACTAGTGACTTGGGAAGAATAGATGGATGGTTGTAGATTTCTTTTGGTGTGAGCTCTGTGGTGGCAGCATTACCCATGGCTCTTGAACTGGAAGTAAACTCTGTCAGATTATGCCAGAGCTGATCTGACAGTACTCAGTGCAGTGTTGCAACATGTTTTTTATGATCAATTTGTTCCTGAAGGTAGAGAGTGAATTAAAGGTTGATGTTTTAGTTATCTGGAAAGAATGAATGAAGAAGATGAGGGAAAGGCATAATACCTTTTGTTCACATAACAGCAGAAGAGTTTTCATATCTGAAATTTTATCACTGTGGAATAAAGTTTGAAACATAGTCGTCACATAAATTTGTGAAATAAATAAGGAAGGAACTTGCCTTTCTTTGGTCTTCTGACACTATTGTTTTCTAAAACTGGGGTTTCCAGGGAGCCAGTTTTAAACCCCTTTTCACTATCAGGTGTGTCAAAGATAAATAACAAGTACAATTGTCATACAGATGTTTGTTATGCCCTATAGATGCATAAACTCTTCAACTTATGCCTCAATAAGTTCTGTGATTGTTTCTTTTTATTCCCAATGAATATTATCCATAGATAACGTTTTAGAGGATAGTAGGAAAGTCTTTGAAGATGTACATGCAGATTTTTGTGACATCAGAAAAATCCTGTTGAAATTCCAGGAATGGAAAGAGAAGTTTCCTGACTCTTACTGTGATGCTTATATCAGTTTCTGCCTGCCTAAGCTGTTAAATCCTTTGATCAGAGTTCAGTTAATAAGTTGGAATCCTCTTGAGGTAGGTGCATAAGCTGACTTTTTCTTCAGAAATTGTGTATATGTATTATGTATTAATATGAAAAAAATATTTTTTCCTATACATAGCACAATGCATTAGAAATTAATATAAAGCTACTGTGTTGTCTCAAAAATTGAAGCATGTGGTGTTGGAGTTTTCTTAACTTTCCCCTTTCCTTCAGCTCTTTTTGCAACATCCCCTGTAAAAAAAAATTGTTCTCCTAAGTTCTTTGAAGACACTTCAACAATCCCACCCTTTTAAATTAATTCTAGCTTTAAATCTGGTTTTCTTGGTTTGCTGTTTTGACCCATTCAGTGTTGAAGGTGAATCTGAAATTAGGTGGGAATCTTGGGTATCACTGGATGGAGCTTTTCTCTTAATTCTGACCAGCTGGATAACTAACAGGAGTGATCTTTCAGCAGAATCTTACAGAATTGGAAGAGATGCCCTGGTTCAGAGCTCTAGAAGAATTCAGTGATGAAGAAAACGTATCTGAATCAAAAAGGGATAATGATCATGATCAAGAAGTTTTACCTAAAGTGATTGAAAAAACTATTCTTCCCAAAATTACAGGTATGATAAGATTGTGTTGAAAATGTTCGCTGCAGCTATACAGTCAAACCTTAAATAACAGTGATAGCTATCAAATAATGTTAGTTATATAATGTTGCTCCAAGATGTAGTGATTATGTAGTTCCACAGAGTAAGGCTAAGGTACCCTTTTTAAGATTATTGTGAGAGGCTGAGCTTTTTATATATGTTTACTTCTGTTACATTGTAATGTCTTTAAACGAGGGCAGATAAGTACTTGCATATTGTGAATGAAATAAATTCCTATTTCTTTTCAGCATTTGTGAAGAGTGTGTGGGATCCTTTATCTACTTCACAGACAAAGAACCTTGTGCAGCTTTGCAGTAACGTCTTTGGAAAACAAGTCCTTTCCAAAAATGAGTCTAGTCGAGGAAGAGAGGTAAAAGCTTGTGTGGTACTGGGAGAGGGGAACTTCACCCTTTGTGTGATTTTGTGTGTGCTCCTGTGGGCACTGAGAACATTCTCCTGAAGCTGTTTGGTTCTGATTGTTTGTTTGTTTTGTCACTTTATATTAAGATGATTTAATAGTTAGACTTCCAGGTCTTTGATCCTCTCCTTGTTGAAGATGGTGGGACACTCTTGAGGCAGAAATTAGTTCCTGTTACTAGAAAAATTCTGCCTGTACCTATCCAGAATCTGTTTGTAGATCTAATCTTGTTTCACCACAATAACAGGGGTTAGAATTTGGATTTGCATTCGCTTATCCTTCAGAATTTGAGCTAATAATGCTCCAGTGGTTCATTACTTAAGCTTTTATTTCTAAAGTAGACCTAGAGTTTCAAAATTGGAAAATCCCCAAATGTTAATTAGTTGGTGAGGAGAAAACTACTTTGTAATCTTTGCAATCTTGTAATAATTACTTTTATACACATAGTTATTCCAGCAGGCCCTTCTTCAGCCTGATTCGAGTGTTGGTTCTGGAGGTTCATTTAGTATAAAACTGGTGAAATGAGATGGATGTTTGGTCCCTGAAAAGAAATATTTTAAAGAAAGTGTTTATGCCTTCCAAAGGTTTCTGGTTTGAAACCATGGCTTGAAGTCAAGTGGTGCAATTGACCTTAGCCAAGATACTGTTTGTACAGAAAGTAAAGTAAACCAGAACATTAAATAAATAGACTTAAAAAGAAGGTAGGTGGCAATCCATGGCACCTAAAAGCATGTTGCCTAGAAACATATGCTATCCTAGCCATGGTGACTTTTTTCATGTAGAATGTCACAGCTTTTCAAGGGGATCCTTTGTGTGTAACTTACTTTGTTGTTCATCTATACAGTTCTCCTGCTGCCTTGTGCAATAAAAGGCCTCACTTAGAAAATAACTTCATTTAAAAAAAATGCTGTAGGTTAACTCTGTAGAGAACTGCAACAGTGATTTTTCTACTGTTTTAATATATTCATGGTTTCATGTATTATATACAAGTGGCAACTACAATATCTCTAATTAACATATTGCACTTCTACGTGACCAGAATAACCATTGCAACTGTTACAAATGGAATATGAAGTCTTTCTTGTGAGGACATAATAATTCTTTTTTAATAGGATTTGATGAACACAGTTGTCCTAAGAATGAAGAAATCTGTAGAGGAAGATGTCTTTATTCCTCTCTATCCTAAAAGGTAAGATGACCTTGTGACTCTTTTGTAACTTGTATTTTTTTTTGATTCCTCGACCCTGCTGCCCCACAGATGTAGATAATATATTGTAGACATCCATTAGTGCAAAAAGGAACAAACATGTCTTCTTTGGGTTTATTACAGGAAAGGTTATGAAACCTTATTCCTGTTTATGAACTCTTTCTAATATGGGCAACTCTACTGACTTAAAGCTTTTTTGCACGAAAAACTTTTCAGTATATGAAGTCTAGAGCCTGCTTTTAGCAGAGTGACTTCCATCAGAGGGCCTTGTGTCAGTTTAGGTGTCTGTCCCATAGATGTGTCCCCTCATTCCTCCTGCCATCCCTAAAATAAGGGGTTTGTTGTTGATGCTCAGTGTGGCCACTGTAAGTGTTCAGGGCCAGGCCGGGTGGGGCTCTGAGCAACCTTTTCTAGGTTGGTGCAGGAACTAAATGGTCTTTAAGGTCCTTTCCTACCCAAACCATTCTGTGATTACTGCACAGTATTCCAAAGGTGGGAATAAGTAGGAGTCTGGGACATGTGGGGTTAAGGTACAGCTAGGAGAGAAGCTTTGCTAAATCTGGTGTAGAAAATAATCCTTATTTTAACTTTTTTTTTTTCTTCTTCTTCTTCTGACCAGCACTGTGGAAGACAAGTCATCACCATGTTCAAAATTTCAAGAAAGACGGTTTTGGTCAGCTGTTAAGGTAAGGAAAATAAAGGGGTTTTTATTTGTTTTGTTTTTATTTTTTTCTTTGAAATTATTTTAGTTTTAGAAAAACCCCAGCCATTTTGCAGTCAGGAAATATTTCTTCAAGCAAGTCTGATTCCTGGGAGATGAATACATTTTTATTAGGGTGGATAACCATTTTGTGCAACCGGCACAGAGAACCCCATCGTTCACTGAGCAAAATGGTTAAAGAATGAGCTGTAATGTGATGGTTTAAGAATGATCTATAAATGAGCACTTTATTTTCTGTTTAGCCAACTGGTACATCTTCTGCTAAGAGACTGATCTCACCATCTGCTCCTGCTGGTTCATTTTTTTTCCATGTAATGGGTCCACCAGGCCTGCTGGCCTTACATATTACTCACTGTCACCCAACACTGTGGGAACAGACAGGTTCTTTTGGGGATCCTGCACAAAATGATGATGGCACTAAGCTGTAGGTACAATTAAATTATTACTTTGAACAGCATTTTGGGGTCAGCACAGTGTTTTATGACCAGAATGGCGGAGTATTTTTATAATCCAAATCAGCGCAGCATCATTTTATGAGTAACATGGCACAAAATTTACAGCACAACTTAGCTTATGGCTCCTAAACACCTGAATTCTCTGCAGATTGGGTCAAATCTTAATATTTGGCTTGCAGAATCAACAATATAAGTCAGATTTTTAGACTAGAAACAGGTGAAGGACTGTGAGTCACTCAGTCCTTGAAGGAAGCAGAGGATGGTGAGGGTGTCCCTGGCTGCTGTGGCTGCTCATGGGTGTCTCTGTACAGCAACAGTTCTGGTCCAAGATCTCCTTAGGATTTGTCATGGCTTGATTTGCTATACAGTGCTCTGTGTGCTGTTCAGCTTCAGTGACAGGGTTGTCACTACCCCTGGGTTGGTCCCTGTAGGCTGGTAAGGATGGGACAATCACGCTGTCACCCAGGAATTTTGAGGCTGACATGGAGGGAAAGAAGAAATCTGTTTGGTTTGTCTCCTTGGTGCACAGGATCTTCATGGCCTGCTAATGAGGAGAAATGATTGGTCTAATACATGACCAGCTCAATCACAAGGAATGGCTGTTTGCCTTAGGAAATGGTGTTATTTATGGTAACCATTGTTGTAGAATGTAATCACTGTGGTGTTCATACAAGCAGTATCAGTACAGTTTTACTTTTGGAATACTGAGCTGAGAATTCCTGAACGCCTGTGATTCAGTTTCTACTTAAGATGTTTTTCCTTAGGCTTCTTACTAAAGATGAGATTTAGATGCATAAAACCCCGTTAAAATCCAAGACAGTATTCCAGTTTCCCTGCTATTCATGTTGCTTGTCCTCCTTGACTCAGAGCAGGTTAATTTTCAAGTAGTTACCCTCAAAATATTTTACCAGGTTAATTTTCAAGTAGTTACCCTCAAAGTGTTTTACCTCAAAGACACAAGCCTTACTTACACCAGACACAGAAATGACAACAATTTTAAGTATTTATAATGATGGGGCAACAGGAAAAACCCTCTGACAAAAATCCTAATACTGACATAAAAATCTTTGTGCTGCAGTGTACCGTGGCTACCAACTGTGGCTAAGTCACAGTGAGTTTGGGGGTGAATGCTGGGGTTTGAGCACTTGAATTGAATGGACATAATTTTACCTTTTTATCTTTATCTTGCATGAAACTTGTAACACTGTGTTTTAACACACTTACAGCCCCCAGCTACACAGATTCTTTGTTTCTGTGTTCCTGCAGCTGCTCTCCAATGTTGTCCTTTGGGATGGGATTGTCCAAGAAGAAAAGGTCCGTGATTTGGGACTGAGCAAGTTGCTGAATCGTTACCTTCTCCTGAACATCATAAACACACCTCTAGGGCCAGATAATATAGAAAAGTGTAAAAAGGTAAAAGATAACATGCACACTGGAAGAGGGTGTATGCTGTAAGATCTTTTTTTCATGAAGAGGGGTCAAAACTGAAGATTAAATATTTAAATAAAAATTTGAACATTTAAAATTTGGGTTAATTTTTTTTTTAATTACCTTGGTGCAAAAAGCATTTTAGAGCCAATACTGGTCTGTAGGTTCTCAAGAATAACTACTTGGAGGGATAACCTCGGTTTGAAAGAAAAAACACACTAACAATGACTGAACCTGCCTGAAGGTTCTTAGCAGAAGTGATGTGACTTGATTATACTGAAATTCTTTTAAAACTTTTTCCAAATACTTTTTTGTGTGAGCAGGTGGTTGCTTGCCTCCCAGAAAGGTGGTTCCAAGACCTTAAAAGTGGATCAACTCTCCCCGAATTAGTGAACTTCTGCCAGCACTTGCTGCAATGTGCCCGTACTCTACACAAGAACAACCACAGGTATCAGATAAGGCTTTCCTTGGGATTCAAGTGCTTCCTCCAATACTTTCAAGTATTTTAAAGTCCTTAAGCCTGACATATTTTGCACTGTCAAGGATGTTCTTTTCACATACATACATAATACAGAAGATGGGGACTGTGATGTGAGGGAGTGCTTCTGCAGTTCTCATTTAATGTGATAGTTTGAGGTGGTAGATGTTGGGTACTGTTGGTGACCAGAGTAGCCAAGGTCACCTGGTGACAAGTGGCAATTAATGTTAAAATGAAGAAACATAAAGGGTACTTAAGACAGGTACATACAAGTGCTGCTATAATTTTTTTTCCTTTTTTTTCTTTATTCTTAAATAGTGATGAAACAAAAGAAGTTCTTCTCCTGCTAGTTAAAGTTGGAGCTCTGCATATTGTTGAAGACTTCATTGAAGAGCATAAACTTGAACACCTTAAGTCAATGATTGGGAAATAGAAATGTTTGAAGCAATACTTACATCACTGAAACAAGCCTGCTATTCACACTAGGCCAGTTCTAATACAACATTTAATTAGTGGATCCTGCCTACCCAAAGATGTAATGGTAATCACTGTCCTAGTTAAATATGTGAGGTGTTTTCCCCAGATATCTTCTACTGCCATTTACTCTTAGGTTAAGGAGTCTTTAGAACTTCCAGTCATTAAAGTTAAGTGATGGTTCAAGCATTCTAAAATGTATGACACTGCTTTACTGCTGTATCCATCTTGGAATGATCCCTGGAAACAGAAAGTGCCTCCTGGTAGACAATTTAACAAGCTATTTTCAGTATTAGTTGCTAAATGTCATTCTGACTCAGCAGTCATTGAGCTCTTCTAACTTGTGGTCCACAGTGATTTTTGGGAGGGTTATTTTTAAGCCATTCCTACTGAAAAAGAATTCAAAATACTGGTGGAGTTTGACCTGGTACAGAAACAAGGGGGGCAGTCTGCAGGTAAGGAGTTGGGCTTTTACAACAGATGTCATAATGAGAAATACAAACCAACTAATGTTAGTTTCTAGGAACTGTAATTCTAGGAAACTCTTCTTTTTGCTTCCCAGTAACACTTCTTCATATCCTTGTTAGATTTCTAATGTTTTAGAACTTTGTATATTTACAAGAAATATTTTTACAGAATAACAGAATAACATTGTGGAAACTGTAGTGCATCACAGACTCTATGTTTACTTGTGGCTCTATTTCTCCAAAAATCTTCTAGGACTAGAATTTAATTCTTGCAGACTTAATCCCTTATGGTTTCTTTTATATTTTTTAAGTTAAAAAAATATATTTTTGTAAAATATTTTAATTGTAAATAGCTTTGATCAGTGTTAACAGACTTTTTAAATAATATTGTTTTATTTTGAAAATAAAATATTTTTCTGTGCTAATGACTCCTGCAGTTCAAATCTTTCACATGTGACAAAAACGTTAAGTATGAAAGAAAACCCTCAGGCTCCACTAACCCTCCTTACCTCTGGGAGTTATGTTGCAAATCCTCCTTTCTAATATGAATTTCTGTTGCTTTTCCTCTCAGAATGACAACAAAAATGCAACTGCTTATCAGCAATCACCACAAGCTCATGATCTCATTGCTTTTCTCTTGTTTTCCTTTGTCTCATCCCAGTCTTGTGCTATTGCAAAAATGTAAGTAATTGTTCTATCACAGTTTAGCTCTGTAGATGTTTGTTTCTGGAAGAAAAATTCCTTGTAATGACGTGTAAGCATTGGGAAGGCAGTGGACACCTGAGTCACAAAAGTCTGCAGACTATAAAATCTTCTGGAAAGGTTAACTTTATTGTTTGCTTTGCTTATGTATATACAAAACTTGGCAACTGCTCATCCACACAGTAAATTAAACATAGTAAATTTCCCAGTAATTCTTAGATTGTGAAAAACATTATTATTTTTTAAGTCCCTCACTCACTTCTTTCCAAATTTTTTCTTCTATTTTTGAAGTATCGTATTCTCGCAGCATATCAAACTCCAGCCATGGCTGGCTCCACTTCTGTGCTTCTTTCATTTTGCTTTCAGGTAGCTCAAACTTTATTCCTTTTATGTTGTATTTCGGTCTTTCCCAGCGTTTTGACCATGGCTTAGGTTTCATTCGTACCCGCAGCTAAAATGAAAGATTAAAAGAAAAGAAACAATAAAAAGGTATTAAGTAATTGGATTTTTGATTGTGAGCTTAGCAAAAGGTGAGAAAACTGCTGCTCTAACAGAAGAAAAGTAAGAGAAAATTGACCAATGTGTCAGTGTGTTAAAGAACTACTACTTTATCCTGTTAGGAGAAAAGGAATTTGTTTGTCCACATTGTTGTCACAGTGTCTTGTGAAAATTCTTAATTAACACTGTCTCGATTTATTAGTTTTGTTCCTTATTAAGGAAAAATAAAAGTAGTGTGATAGGGAAGGGGAGGAATGATCGCTGTAAGTTGAGTTCCTACACAACACTAACAGTGTCTGCTGGTTTCTGGATCTTCTCTGAGATGCAGATTTTAGCTGACTCTCCCATCTTACCTTGTTTCCTGCTACCAGCCACTCCCAAACACCCCCCTTAACAATGACATTTCTGTAGAAAAGCCTTCCCCTCTGCACAGTTCTGCAGAGGCAGGTGGAGGCTGCTACTGCTTGCATGTCTTCAAATTTAACTACTGAGGACAGTAGGTGTTTACATTCCCAACATTCTTTCGCCATAGAAATGGTGGAAAGACCTGCCTGATTTTATCTAGTTTTGTCACCCTGGTAACTAATGTAGCAAAGGGCTGAGACAGACAGATATGGAAGTTACCTAAACAACCCTCCGCTTCCCCTCTGAAACACGTGGCTCCTACCTCGTTTACAGGAACTTCTTCGTGGTCCAAACGAGACACAGGTTTCATATTCACATCAAAAGTACTGTATTCAGGGAGGGCATCTCGCAGGTACATCAGGTTGTCATCCAGCCTCTTTTCCAGCTTCAGCACCTCGATCGCCTGGATCCGGGGACTGTACAGTTCATAACATACTTCAACACCTTAGAGAGGGAAAGTCTGGTTTAATGACCCAAATTCCTTAGAAATACTAACACCAAAGTAGTATTTCTTTAGTGCTACACATTCCTGTATCATTGCAGAACTGCTCTGTACTTCTCAGAGAACTACAGTGCTGTGTGCACGTGTGATTGCACTGTGTCTGCACAGGCAGCTGCAGGTTTCGTTTTAAGTCAAGTCTTTGATAATGGGATGGCTTAAGAGACATTGAATGGCTTGAGTTTAAAGAAGATGAGTTTGGCTTTTAAACTTCACTCCCTTTTGGTTACTATTGCTGTTATTGTTCATCTCAGTGTATTTGAAGAGACACCCACCCCCTTTTGTATTTGCTCTCAGAACCTCACTATTTAATTGTCTCCAATTTTGTCATAAACCAGAATATGATCCTATGATAAAACTCTGCTAATCTGTTGCTTGTTAAACAGTTCACACACACATCCCCAGTTCATGTGCTCAAACTGGGCTGGTATTTACGTGGCTACCAACAGACCGCCCAGGCTCAGACATAAACACAGTCATCAGGAATGTCTAAACCCCACCAAGTACAGAGACAAAAAAATTACTAAGCAGTTCCATGCCTTCAGATACCGAGCAAATTAACATCTCTGTGTACAGAGTTTTAGGCTTGCAGGATCCCCTGATGGGCAGACTCACAATTTTACTTCAGCCTGCTGTCATTCTCCCCACAGACCAAACTTCTACAACTTACACGTTTTTTTTTGCTTAACACGTGTACCATAATTACCACAGTCAGAGCCCCACCTTGGTCTTCTATGACGTTCCGAAGGACAAAGGTAGCTCCGAGTCCCTTCCCTCCTCTTTGGATGCAGATGCCAACAAACCGGTTGGATTTGTTATTGGCATAGGGATCTGCAGTGGTCACAGCAAGCACACTGCCTGCCAAGAAAAGGAGTTAAAATAAACAGGCTGTCCAAGTCAATACAGAACAAAACGTGGGAAGTGTCAGACAAAGTGCACATATTTAGGCACATTGAGAAAATACTTTGTTTTCCATCAAAACTGACAGAAACAGAACAAACTTCTAACGTGACCTGAATTAAAATATGAATTTATGTTGAAGTGATACTGCAGATAAACCACAAACCTTCTTCACCTTTATTTTTTTTTACTCTTCACTATCCAAATTGAATGAAATACTCTTAATGTGTTTTCCTTTCCTCAGCTTTACTGGTAAAATATATGCTCAAATGCCAGGATAAAAAACAAACAAACAAACAAAAAAGATTTAAGGACCACATTAGGATTATTCTTTTAATGAATCTGGATGTAAACATGAAATTAAAATGCAAAGTACTATGTATTAAACACATACTAGTTGTTCTAACACACCTGTTCTAACACACTGTGATGTTTTATTTTATTCTACATCTGACCACACTTTTTAACACCCCCCAGATTGTAAAATACTGACACAATTACAAAAGTTTTAGTGCTGTTACTGACCAACATAGAACTCTGGGATGTTGAAGACTTTTCTTCTCTGTATCATATCCTTTCTTTCCATATAGTACTTAAGAGGATCTGTTCTCCCTCTGGGAGGTATAAATTCAGGGCTCAAGAACCTGTAAGAACAGCCAAGCTTTTAAAAGTAAGAAACAAAAGCATTTGCATCAAAAGTAGTAGTAGAGAAGTTTAAGTGTTTGGCCTAAAAATTACCAGCTGGTTAACCACCACCACCAGCTGCCTTTTCAGAGATATGAACCACAGTTCATGAAGTCACCAATTTTATTTTATTATTGCTTTTTGTTATCTAAAAGGTGGTGGGTTTTTTGTGGGGCTTTATTGTTTTTGGGGTTTTGGGGCCTCTTGTTTTGTTTTGTTGTTGTTTTGTTCTTTTAATCAGATTTTTTCCAAAACCAGTTAATACTTGTTGATATTGGAGGAGCTTGATACTGACTGAAAGAGGACGGTTCATTTACTGCTGTCACAGCCGAGGAACAGGTTATTTCATCATTTAATTGCACTCCACATGACAGAACACTTACTATTTGTTGACTTTATAGTAATAGATATGGCACAATGTATTACGGTTTTCCATCCATTTACACTCTATTACAGTTTTCACACATTTATTCTATAAGAGACACGAAATAAATGTCCTTTTGTGTTAGAGAAGTTTAAAGGGACTTGTAAAACTATCTTCTGCTCCAAAAAACTAGATCATGCCAAGGAATTCCCACATGGCCTGGACCTCAATTATCTGACTGCTGAGCTGAAGGCAACACTTCCTGACATGGATTGGCTTGGGCTGAGGACCACTTCCAACAGACCCTTTGGATGTGGCCACCCTGGTGACCACTTGGCCTCAGAGCTCGAGGATGAAGCTGGACTCGTTTAGTTCACCAGTACAGATGTAACTTAAAAGTCTGGTCAGGAGAGAAGTGCCCAGCACAGAGAAGGAGGACAAACGCAAACCTGCTTTGCAAACCTTACAGGGGCTGTGGGGGGAGCACAGGGAACGTGCGTGGCAGCACAGAGGATCTGGCTGGTGCTGCTGCCCATGGGGAGCCACACAGACAATAAACAACTACAAACCTTCTCATGATCTTCAAAGTTACACAATGTTAGAAGACTAAAATGCCATTTAAATGATGCAGCTCCCTGTTCTACTCAGCTGCCACATCACACACTCTGCACGTTTTAGAACAGCCCTGTAGACTGAACGCTTCTTAAAAGATATTTCCATTAACAGATCTGAAGACAGAGTGGATATTTTTATAACCTGATTTTTAATACCTTTCCCATTCCTAGGTTGCCTACATGCTACAGGTTTGGTGGGCGTTTTTTTTGGAAAGGAAGATGAACAGTGCAGTTCTACCACTCTCCTTCCAGACACAGCACTGAAGTTTTAACAGTGGGTCATTTGAAGCAATGCAAATTGGATTTAAAAACCAGGGAGGCTGTGGATGCCCCAACCCTGGAAGTGTTCAAGGCCAGGTTGGATGTAGCTCTGAGCAACCTGGTCAAGGCAAAGGTTTCCCGGCTCAAGGCAGTGGGGTTAAAATGAGATGATAGTATGGTTCCTTCCAGCCCAAACCATTCTGTGATTCTATGAAATGGGTTGAGGTGACATCAAGAATACCCAGAATGAGACACCTCATGAGGTGTCACCCTGCTGACATCAGCTCCACTTTACAAGCATTAAGGCGCGTACTCACAACTGATTTCAAGGTCTGAGGCAAAGGTAGACACAGGACACATGTCCCTGTCACCCAGTGGCACATGAAAGAGACACTGTTAGCAGAGAGAACCTCACATGTTAACCCCAAATTTGCAAAAGCGTTTACTGCTGTACATTTTTTTCCCCACGTTTCACTACTTTCAGGAACTCCAGAACACAGTATTTTAAAGTGTTCTAAGCATATTTCAACGCAAATGATGTTTGTAGAAGTTTACAATTTTTTTTCTTTCTTTTTTTTTTTTTTTCTTTCTTTTATTTTGTGTAATAACGCCATGGCTTTTTCAGCAAGTGCTTACACAATGACCAGCCCGCAGCAGACCCGGACACAAGCCCGGGGTGGGCAGAGGGACAAAGAGACTCCCTTCCCTACCTCCTCTGGGACACAGAGACCCCCCCACCTTCCCTACCTCCTCTGGGACACAGAGACCCCCCCACCTTCCCTACCTCCTCTCCGTCCT